AATCATAGTTCTAAATCTTTCAAAACATTACAGATAAATCCTAAATTCTCCACTACCGCTACTTTCACAACCCCACCAAGCCACTACCTATAGATCCATATAGCATCACTTTTCGACCACAACACATAGGACTCCACCACCACCAGCGTCGTCTCACTCTCCCCAATATCCTCCTCCATAGTACTGGTCACCAATCTGTCCGAAACAACCACATTTACGGTGGTGGAGTCCGGTGGGCATGGTGGCCGAAAGGTGGTATTATGTGGATTTATAGTTGGCAGCTTGATAGGTTGTGAAAATGGTGGTGGTTGAGAATTTATGATTTTTTGTAATTTTTTAAAAATTTAAGGATTATGGTTGCAGTTGGTAATTCATCTTTTCTTTTTGTTTTATTTGAATAGGAGGGTAAAATCGTCATTTTATTGAAAAAATGGATGAAAATGACCTTTTTGCAATGAAAGGTGAAAGGTAGGGGTAAAAATGCTAAAAATGAAAGGTAGGGACGTTTTGCACAATAATATTGAAAGGTAGGGACATTTTCTGCTAATTATGCTAAAAAATAAAAGGTAGGGACGTTTTGCACAATAACTTTGAAAGGTAGGGACCTTTTGTGCTAATTACCTTTTTGATTTAACGGAGCATTTTAACGGAAAGTTGACAGAAGGACGTTTTGCGCAAAAAAATGTAAAGGTAAGGGTGTAATCCACCAAAAAATGAAAGGTAGGGACGTTATCCACAAAAATATCGAAAGATAGGGATGTTTCATGTTAATTACACATTTTTTTTCTTCAAAAAATCACATTCTTAAACAGTGATTTGACATCATTTCAATCATACATTTTTCAATAAAATAATATTATATGCAAATCCAAAACTTTTCTTTTTTTGTTAACCACGCATTTTTCATCAATACACTAATCAAAAATACATTCTACTAAAAATAATGTGGCTCAAACAAAATCACTAATAAAACATTGAAAATAATTACAATTCAAGTCACCTCCTCCTCCCCATTCCCATCCTGTAAGGGGGTGACGGAGGAGGTGATTACAAGTTGCAAAGTTGGTGAATGAAAAATAATCAATAATTTGGCAAGAGTAAATTAATATTGTAACACTTTGAGAATGAGCAATTATTTTCACACTATATTTTTGTTGATTGCACCTATTTTTATTAAAAGTGATTACCCTTAACGTTCTCTCTCTCTCTCTCTCTCCCTCTCTTTTTTTTTTTTTTATTAACTTGTGTTCCCAATTTTTTTTTTGTCATTTTTTTTATTGTCAACTATTCTAATGAAGGCTGAAAATCCATCATGAGAAAATTTACTCATTCGCTCTCATTTTTTTTTTAATAAGCAAGATAGCAAATAAAAAATCTAACAACTTAAATTTTTGGATAGAAATAATATCAGAGATAAAATGTGCTAATGCAATAAAAATGTCACAAGTGCAAATATTGAAAACCTCAATTATAATCAAAATGCCATGCAGTTAACAAAAATTGTGATATCAATCTAATTACCATTCGAGAACACAATTTGTAAGTGCGTTTTGGAACTCAAAGATAAAAAGTTATCAGTGTTAGAAGAAGCAAAGCATACAAAAAGAAACAAAATAAGTGGACACACTTGATTCATTGTAGTATATATTATTGGCAACTAATAGAAAAAGGTTATTTTTACAAATTAATAGAACTTATTGGTAAATACGAAGTGTATTGTATCGATTCTTTTTAATGAATCGATTTGATTGTAACTTCGAATATGAAATTCAAAGGAATCAAACATGAAATGATACTCTAAATTATAGAACTATAAAGAAATATACAATCGTTCAAAATTTATCAAATTTTCAGATCAATCCTTTTATCTTGATTTCTCGAACCGAGAAATTCGTAAATTGCCAAAGAACAAATCCACCTTGTATAATTCCAAATGGTTTTTCCCAGCCTTTGAAAAACACAAAATTTTAGGTAATATACCTCGAACTATTGCATGACAATATATGTTTATCTAAGGTCGATAAATGGAAGTAAAGCGAGAGCTAATTTAAACAAATATACCAATTTCTGTTTCAACCAAAGATTGTTTGCAAAAAATTTGGAAGTCCATGTAATTTTTTGCACTTGATCAAATATACCTAAATTCAGTCATAATTCTAATAGACAACTAGTAACAGTTACACAATCAAGCTGCACAACCAGTTGAACAACTATATTTTTGCAAATTGCAAAATAAACTACACATATATGAAAAAATAAGTTATAAAATGTTTTCCATCATCAAAGTACAAAGATTAGATTATTAAGCTTCATAACTTGCAAGTTTCACTATTTTCAACCATTCAAAAAGGGACGACAATGTTTTCTATTCAACAAATTTTAACTACTTCATGTTTTTCCTCACTTCCTACCATTCCTAATGTACGAAGTTCGGTTAGAAGCATGCAATATTTGAATTCGCGTCGTCGTTTCTTCATTATTACCATTTCTTCATTTTCAATTGGATTGGTAGCATTTGAGGGCACCTTCGGGTGAGCTCCTTCACTAGAAGACGATGCTGACGTGCCCTTCAGGGACTCCTTCAATGACATCATAGTTTGTCAATCTATGTAAAAATAAGATGTTTATTGTCAGGCAAATTTGTCAGGAACCCAAGACAAGAATTTTGGAAGTACATTTATCAAGAACCGTCTTGATGAACTTCAAACTATAGTGTTGAGATATGTCGCATATAGATGTTCCTCTTTTGCCAGAACAAATATGAAATTCATCTGCAAAAATCAGTGACATGAACAAATACTGAAGTTCAGATGATGATATGTATTGCATTTACTTCGTAACATATGTGGAAGAGCAGCTAAAACAAGTTTGACATTGTATCACAACTGTCGAGAAATAATAACCAATTGTCGGGAATTTTAGAACATGACAGTCATAAATGATAGTTTATCTCGATAGATAGTTTTCATAAGAAATACATGTGAACTCTCCATGTGTTAACATCAATCAGATGTTTAAATCCTCAAATTGAACCACATTGCATCAAATTTAAAAACATATCAACTCACAAATTTGGTCTACATTTAAATTCAACTCAAAAATTTTCATGAAGATAACGTAAACTGCTCATAAATACATTCAACAAATCACCATCAGTAAAAGATAAAAAAGATCCCAATATATGCATTTCAATTGTTATACTTACAAACTGAATAATCAAGTCTTTGAGAAAACAT